CCGGGATCCCACGTCCTTAATAGAGTTATCTTTATGTTTGTTTATTGGTCGAGTGCTCACCAATACTGTTATTATCATCATCCTCATTAACTGTCATTAGTTCCCTCATTATCATCATATTACATTGTTATTATTATTAATGTTAATGTTATCATCATTACTATCATTGTATCATCATCATTAATCATCAATATTGCTATTATTATCATTATTATTATTATTACTATAATATTATTATTATTATCATTATCATTAGTCATCATTATCATTATTATCATCATTACCGTCATCATCAATACTATTATTATTATTATCATAATTATCATTATTATTATCATTATCATTATTATTATTATTATCATAATGATCATTATTATTATTACTTTTATTATTATGATCATTATCACTGTTTTTTATCATAACTATTACCTTTATTATGATAATTATTATCATCATTAATACCATTATCATTATTATCATTCATCACGACCAACAGCATAATCACAATGATACTGAAGATGATCATACAGATGACAATAATTACAATGGTAATGATAAGAATACTAAGGATAATGACAACAGCAATAATGATACTGCTGATAAGAATTATGGCATAAAATGTAATAGAACTACTAGTAATGTTGATAACAATAACAACACTATTAAAAAATGAACAATGATCAAGTTATCAAAACAATCCGGACAGACTCAGATGGAGTAATCACGCTGAATCATTTTGCGAAAGTGTAATATATTTTGCAGAAAGTTCTGATAAAGAAGCAATCATATGCAAAGCAGATTGAACACCCAATTCAGTCAGTTGTTATCTTCTATCAGTTGTGGTTCAGGAATTTACCAAGTATGATAATAAAAGACAAGAGATTACAAAAGTGCAGCCTATTTGGGATTAACAGGGATATCGGATGTATGTCTTGCATGACACGTTATCAAAAATTTGGTGTGAATGATTGCTGTTAACTTAATTGATTGATAAGACAAGGCCATTCTTGGCGATTTCGAATTGCTGAAAGAGATAAGTAAGAAGATAGACGTTTAGATAAATGTATACAGATAAGAATAAGCACACACACACATGCGTGCCCACGCACACACATGCGTGCCCACACACATATGCGTGCCCACACACACACATGCGTGCCCCACACACACACATGCGTGCCCACACACACACATGCGTGCCCACACACACACACACACACACATACACACACACATGCGCGCTCAAAGACACACACACATCGTAACGTAAAACCACGCTTGCATATAACCACAAATGTGTGTGGATCTATCTATTTATCTAATTATGTATATATTATATCAACGCATTTCTCTCACTCTCTTCCTTTCTCTCTCTCACACATTCTCTCTCTATGTTCTTCATTTCTCTGCCTACTTACCCTCTCTGTGTTTCTCTGTCTCTGCCCCCCCCCTCTCTCTATGTTTCTTCATCTCTGCCTACTTACCCCTCTCTCTCTGTTTTCTCTGTCTCTCCCCCCCCCTCTCTCTCTCTCTCTTTCTCTACATATATATATATATATATATATATATATATGTATGTATATATATATATATATATATATATATATATATATATATATATATATCAGTATGTATGTATGTATATACATATATTTATATATATAATATATATATATATATATATATATATATATATATATATATATATATATATATATATAATATATATATATACAGACACACACACACACACACACACACACACACACACACACACACACACACACACACACACACACACACACACACACACACACACACACACACACATATATATATATATAATAAATAAATATATATATATATATATATATATATATAATATATATATATATATATATATATATATATATATATATATATGCGTGTATATATATGTATATATATAGATATATATATATAGATATATATGAATAGATATATGTATGAATAAACATACATACATATATATATATATATATACATATCTATCTATCTATCTATCTATCTATATGTATGTATACATATATATAAGAAAATTATACATGTATATGCATACATATATTTATATATATTTGTATATATTTATATATATCTTTATGTAAAGAAAAAAAACGAGCATACATTCACACTGTACATACGTATAGAGATAGTATAATAAATTATATTAAGTGGCCACGATATATTTCACACGTGACATACTATGAGATTAAGATGCTTAATTTAATCTAAATGACTGAAATTTCAATCAACAAAATATCTAGCTAAAATATAACAGAAGAAGAAACATACAAAGACTTGACGATGTTTGTACACTGAAAAATCTTTATCTACGACGAGAGTTCAGCTTGGGGCCATTGCATTGCATTGCCATGGCTCGCTGATGTACTCTAATCGTGATAATATATATATATATATATATATATATATTATATTATATATATGTATATGTATATATATATATATATATATATATATATATATATATATATATATATATATATATATATATATATATATGTATATATGTACACACACACACACACACACACACACACACACACACACACACACACACGCACACGTAGGTGCAGATACAGCAGTAAACAAAAGCACAAGCACACCTGTCCCAAAAATGGAATGACAGCCTTTCAAGCAGAACCGAACATCCTTCGCCAAGGACAACCTCAGCCGCCAACTGAACACACCCTTGACACCTATTTAACACAATAGCCAAGTATACGCGAGTTGCAATAGAAGATTCGAGAGACAATAAAGCTAAGGAATGATATGCCTCTATTTTCTCTCTGTTCTTAAATACCTATATTTTCTCTCTCTCTCTCTCTCTCTCTCTCTCTCTTGTTTTCTAATCTTGTTCCAATGACATTGGCCTTTTTATGGCTTATGTTATCCATGTAAAAATTCCTTTTATACATCCAGTATGATGCATTGTCATAGTTATATATATATATATATATATATATATATATATATATATATATATATATATGTATATATATACATAATATATATATATATATATATATATATATATATATATATATGTCTGTCTGTCTATCTATCTACCTACCTATTTATCCAACTAATCTATCCATCTACTTATCTGTCTAATCTATCTAAGTACTTATATCTCTAATCTATCTACCCATGTATCTATCTATCTAATTTATCTATCTACTTATCTGTCTAATCTATCTAAGTACTTACATCTCTAATCTATCTACACATACATGCACTGCCATCAGGTTCATGCAAACAAAACGACAAACACACGAATTAAAATCGAATAGAAAATCAAGAAGGATATTCGCAAAATTTCGCACCTGAACAAATACACATTTTCTTGTAAAGAGAAAAAAAAAGAAAGAAAAAAGAAAAAAAGATCAAGGGAAAAGTAAAAGGTCAAAATATAAAAGGACACTTTCATGTGACAAAATACCTTCAGTGCGATCGAAAAACAATTTTCACTTCCTTGGAAAATAGATTCCGACCTGTCAATATTCGCATTTTGAATAAATCATATTAAAATGATTTAGTTCTTAGTATACCTTAGTATAACGTCTAGAATTATTAATTTCTATAATACTGAAAAAATATCAAAAATAGTACACTGTCGTAGCATTATCCTTCAACAAGTTTTCTTTATCGTTGAACTTGGCAGAAATAACGTTATAATCTAAATAACGTCTAGCTACGGTGGGTCGTTACAGAGGCGCTTTCCTCCATTATAAAACTCTCTCAATTCGTGTGTATTTATCGATCTTATCCATCTCTATCTTCAATCTATCAATTTCTGTGGAATCAGTTTTTATCTGTACGAACTAATACCAAACGAATTCCACGTCCCTTTATATACGTAAACAATCGTAATTTCACCAAGAAGCTAAAATCCCTCGCGCCCCCCCCCTCTTCCAGCTCGGGCCCCTACACCCTCCCTTATCAACCCCCCTCCCTCCACCTCAGCCCCTACACCCTCCCATATCTACCCCCCTCCATCTCAGGCCCCTACACCCTCTCTCTACCTCTCCCCTCCCCTCTCTCTCTTCCTCTGTCTACCCCCCTCTCCTTCTCACCCCTCTCCCTCTCTCTACCCCCCTCTCCCTTCTCTACCCCCCTCTCCCTCTCTCTACCCCCTCTCCCTCTGTCTACCCCCCTCTCCTTCTCACCCCTCTCCCTCCGTCTATCCCCCTCTCCTTCTCACCCCTCTCCCTCTCTCCCTTTCTCTACCCCCCCTTCTCCCTCTCACCCCCTACTCCCTCCCTTATCTACCCCGCCTCGGCCTCAGCTGGAGTCGCGTCCCTCGGCTGCGGCGGCGAGAGAAACCGAGCGAGTGGGAGGCGCTGCCCACGCGGGGCCGAGGAGCTGCTCCCCGCTTTTCCTTCTCGGCTCCGTGGTGGCTCGAGAAATCGGTTTTGGTTTTGCTCGATTGTGTATTTCTCTCTCGTGTTATCGCTGTTCCTTTCTTATGCTTTCATCTATGTTATCATCTTTCTCTATGTTATCACTGTTCTTTTCTTATTCTTTTATCTATGTTATCATCTTTCTCTATGTTATCACTGTTCCTTTCTTATTCTTTTATCTCTCTTTATCACCCTTTTTTTTAGATATTATCTGTACACGTTTATTTATTTAAATATGTTTCAGTCTCAATTGGTTATCACTATTGTTTTCTTATTTTTCTCATTATCATCCCGGTTTTTAGAAAATTTTAACAAATATTAATTTATTCATATTAGTAAAAACTATAATTGTATTCAAAACTATATCGATTATTTTTTTCAGGAAACTAGTGCATGCATGTAAAGGATTTATGTTCATTTCGGTATATATCAGTACAAATCAAGAAGCAAAAACATTTTTGTAAATCCGAAGGAAATCTTGCGTCACAAATATAAACCAATATTTTCCTCAAGCAGCAGTAAAAGCAAATACCAGTATCA